ATTGTACTCAATAGGGAGGACTTCAAAGAAAAAAAAACTCCACCCCCCCCCCCTTCCCATGTTTCCTCCATTCAAAGTTGGGGTGTTTGCTGTTTTTTTGTGGTAGCTCGAACAGCGGCACAATATTGCATGGAGGGGATGGGGGAGAAAAAGCTATATTTTCCGCTTTTGAAGTCAGGAAAACGTCAAAAATCCCCTTAAGCGCGAAGTGGCACTGTATTGATTCTTCCACTACAACTGAAAGTGTACCCTGGGTACCAGAGGTTTTTCTCGCGTACGGCGGGAATTTTCGGTGTTGGCCGAAGGCCGACACATCTTCGGCCGTATGCCGAAGCCACGAGCGACGAAGCCGCGAGAAAAAACCTATAAAGTCATTATAAAGACTTGACAGAAACCGGAAACCGCGCTAGAAAAGTCTCTGGCACCCAGGGTACTGGAAGTGTTCCGTGTACTCTAAAGTTGACAAATACCAACAACCGACGGGCCAGAGTATCCAACCGAATAGGGAATGTTTTTAAAGTAGTAATCAGCAATCGAGGAAAATCGAAGCTTGTTTTTCCAATATTATTATTCACATTACACTGAAGGCTTTTCTCGAGAGCACAGTATTTAAAAATACAGTTATCTGGATGAACAGTTTTCATTGATAGTGAATTCTTTTCATCATGAGCTGATCTAGACTGATGGGAAACGCCCATGATCTTTCAAGAATCTTTAGTTGGCAAAACGTAACATTTTGAACTACAATATTCAGTATAAATACTATCCACATTCGAAGTAATACAGGAATTAAAAGTAAACTTTTGCGGGACACACTTTAAATATTAGAAACATCAGTTTAAGTACAGTTACAGTTCAGTTTGAATATAATTATAGTAGACACTTACAGGAATCGAAAGCAAAAGGAAAGGATCTAAAAAGTATAAAACGTACGTCTTGCTGAGTTTTGCCAAGGCTCTCGTCCTTAACATTGAGATTAACGAAGCCATTCTAAGCTATTTAATTTCTATCGATCCATTGGTCGCCATCTTTATTTAGTGGAAAACATTCCTTTTTGTCACAAAAATACAGTCAACTTCTCTGCAAAGTCTTATCGAGTTGAAAGGTGCAGTTACGTAAGACACTTTTAGCGTGGTACATGGCCCTTTACCACGGAATATTTCTGGTTAGGCCAGTGACATTTCTTTTACTGTTAGAATAAATTTACAATATTTTTCCACGGCCAACATTCATGGTGAACGCTGGCTTTTGCGACCCATCAAATGGTCCTATAAATCTCTCTTCACATTTTGTCATACAATTTCATCATTCTACACATCTTTTTTGCAGTGAGGATGCTCAAACTCGCACTATCACCAGCTAATCTACAAGGTAATTATAAACGTGCCCACTCCCGTGATAGTACTATCGCCCGGGCGAGGGATACTTCCTTATACGAGGCTAATGGGGATGTGCCGCTGGATGGGGTCGATTTTCACGACTGGGTTGACTATAATGGGTTAGCATTTTCAATAGAGTTTCTAGAATGGGGTCGCAGATTTTCTGATTTTAGAGGCAAGAAAGTTCTTCATATTTTCGGTTAGCAAACATACCAGAAGGTTTGTACTGAAGGTGAAAAGTAAAGTGTTCTTCATTCAGTTCAAAAAATGGGTCAAATTTATTTTATGACCTATTTAAAGGATTGATAAGGTAGATACATAAATAGAAAGTGACTAAGTTTGGGATCGCGAAAATTACACTTGCCAAAAATGAAAAAGATGGGTCTTAAATTGGCCAAAGAATAGACCATAATGGGGTAGGGGCTCTAAGAGGTCACCGGCACATACCCATTAAGAATTAATCCAAGTGCCCTCCCCCCCCCCCGCCCCCGGAGGCACTATCGATGGCTTTACCGTTTTTGTCGAAATCCTAAAGAAATAACTTCTCAATAAATGACATGGCTAATGTCTGCCACTTCGAAGCTAGTTGTACTTCCCTCTTAGGGATATGAAGGAAGCGGTGCAGAGGGAAATTGGTAGTTATTAACAAACGGGTACATTGGTGTAAAGCTGGTATCACCCAGCGTCTTTTTATCGCCCTCGTCATCGATTGACGCTCCACCGCTAACACACTCTGCGTACGAAGGAGGAGCTGAAATCAAAACAAGAAATGTTTCATAAGCAAAATCTTAGGTCAGAGAGTTCTGGAGCCAGTTTTTTAATTTCATTTTATAAATTGACCCCGCGAAAACCGGGTCGAAGCTTTTCTTCCCCTTGGGCAATTTATTGGCGTGTAACCGAAAACATAAAAGTGATCAGATCCCAAAGCGAGCCCAACCCGCTTGTGGGAAATGGTCTAGTGTAACCACACGAAAGTTTAGTGCAACCCTACGGGTAGCCGTAATTTTTGTGAGGGTGGGTGGGCGGGTGGGATTAATTTCGGAATACTACAGTAGTCACGATACAAAATGTTTCTTACCAATATTTGGATAATTCTGCGCAGGGTCACCATACTGTGTAGCGGCTGGTGGATACGCTGATGCTGCGTCAAATCCCGCCAGTGGTGGGGCGCTAGGTGTCAAAGCAACACCTGGGGGCGGGTATTGGGCTGGATGAAGGGGCGGCCGATATGGAACTGAGCCAATTGTGATAGGAATGTTTAATGTTGAGTTGAAGGCACCCTTCACTCTAACTTTCAGCTGTTGAAAGGTGGCAAGAGAAAATAAGCAACGAAATAGAAGTGACCTACAACTGTTGGCGTTTAACTCGATTTTATATCAACTCTGCACACTTCTCAGTACGTATGTATGAAAGACAGTGGGGAGAATATTTTTTTGTTGGCATTCCAACTCACCTTATTTGAACATTTTCAGGATTCGTTTGCTAATGAATGAAATAAACCTCGGCACTTAAAGTCGTAATTGTTCCTTGCTAGCCGAGGTTTCAAGGCAAAAGAAAAAACGAAAAGAATGAAGGAGGGAGCCCTAATCCTATCGTATTCCCCTCCTAGCAGCCAAAATTTCTTTTGAGTAACAGGTCGCCCCATGCAACGGTATCCAAGACAGTCTTGGATTCTGGATTCCACGCAGTGGATTCCGGATTCCAGGTACTGGATTCCAGTATTTGTCAGTAGAACTTGCATTCTAAAAATATTCCATCACCAGATGAATTCACACCAGATGCAAGTCCTGTCATTCAAACCAGAATAACTATGGTTGGTTTGTCTTAATGGAAAAATGTTGGCAAGGCAGCAAACGACAGTCGTCAAAACAAAAAAAACATCAGATATTTTAAAAAATTCAGCTAAATGGACAGATAATGGGTAAATTACCTGTAGAAAATATGATATCTTTATGCAACTGCAACTCGTCATGGTTGGGGGCAGAGAGGGGACTGGAAGTGGTACCACTGGCATGCGAGTCTCTTTCCCAGGCTTCATTCCTTCTTGAAACATGGATGCAACCTTATCTTCCCAGTGTTTTTGTTTTCCTAGAAATTAATCAAATTGATTATGGTGATGATGAAGGTAAAAATCATGGGAGTAACTGCAGCCACTTCTGACCTATACCCCTAAAACAGTGGCTATGTGGCTATGGGACTCATGATGTGGTTTGCAAAATAAGAGTTACAGTAGCATGAAAGTTGTCTTGCGGCTAAGTGCATGGCTATGCGGCTACGTGGCTACATAGTAGCCACGAGCCACTGTTTTAGGGGTATAGCTTCAAACTGTCTGGGTGTTCGACAGTTCAGCCAAATTGGAGTATGATTTCAACTCCATCAAATAAATGTGAACAGGCAGCCTTTCAGGAATTGTTTTCTTCTCCAACTAGGGGTGAAGCTTTCTTGTGTAGTAAGGACTCATCTGCCAAAAGTTTTCATTTTAATGGTCACACCATAGTAAATCAAAAACAGACTCAAATGTTATAACTTCCTTTCAAAACTCAGTCAATCACTCTGGTGAAAAGGTTCATATATTTCACACCTTTATAACTACAATATTGTCCAGTTCCCACAGTGAATGCCATTCAAAACAGTTCTGAAACAAGTACTAAATCAAATTAAGTTGACTATTAATTAATTTAATTTATTTCATTTGTTCTAGACTTGTTCGTAAGTGTGATGTTGGTTCTTATACCCACCACCAGAAGCAATGAAGACAGTGAGTTGAATAAGTTGTATCTCCAGCCCAATAATCTCATTTTTTGAATTATTATTAATGACTGCAGAGACACCAATAGATTCTCCTGGACAGTAACCTCCTCTGTCAGTATAGACAATAGTATTGAGTGGACCAGATACACAGCACAGGCATCCCACATTACGATCCTGCTGGATCTGACAAGGTTGCTGAGGAAATATTAGAGTTGAAATAAGTGCTGGTCGTAATAGACTTGACTCAAGTCACTTTAGCCCCTATCTAATGCTTAGTATACTAAAAAACTGCTACTATAACAGGGTTGGAAACTAAAATTTAGGAGCACTGGCGCTGACCAGTTTTCACTTGCCCAGTCTCACAGCTAGACTACCATAAAAAATAGCCCCCTCCTCACTGCATGGAAGTTCACTCACCATGCCCTGAAACAGACCTTAATAAACAAAAAAGAAACAACACCATACTCAAGCAAAGTGTCAAAATTATAAATTAAAGGCAGCGGTAAGATAGAGCCATTAGATCGATTAAGAGTCATATTTATGCCAAACAGGAAACGTGAATCTGTACTGTGAGCCAAGTTTTCCCACTTATGTCTATGCAGGTTTGCACACAGCAGCAAAAATTGCAGTTTTTCATGCACTTGAATTTAGTAATTTTAGCAAAAACTGCAGTTTCTCCAATTTTTCACAATTTTTGCTACTGTGTGCAAACTTGGACATTTCTCAGTTTTCTTGAGTTCTTAATTATCGTTTACTGTTTATTACTTCTAACTCAAAAATACGTAGTTTCACGCCAGTTTTATCCACAAGAATTGTTCTAGATAGTTTTTATCTTATTATTTTCTTTTATGAAAAATTCTCAACTTCATTCTGACGTTTGCTGCTATGCCACAAATCTCTGACTCTTAATGGAGAGTTTAAGCTTCACATATACTGCAAACAGCAAAAGTCAGATTCACATTGAGAATTGCTCAAAATAGAAAATGAGCAGATAAAAACAGCTCCAAACAATCATTATGGATAAAAAATTGCGTGAAACTACTTATTTACGTGTAGAAATAATTAACAGGAAACAACAATAAGTAAAGGGGAAACTTGGTCACGTGGTACAAATTCATGTTTGCCATTTGACATAAACGTGATGCTCTCTCCAATCTTTCTATTTTCCCGCATTTTGCGGTTCTGTGGACGATGCAGTGTATTTAATGACCAGAGGTATTACTGGTACCTTGTACAAGTGTGCATTCTTCATGTAGCAATCATCAAAGCCGAGAGCATTTTGTGTGTTCAATTGAACCTGTTCTTGATGGACATTTCAGAGTGGTAAGCTTCTGGCTAAAGGACAGACGCAGATTATTTTCAAGTGGAAAGTGAAAAGTGACGTTAATTTTGAATTAACGTATTGTGCCAGTATGAACACCATACTTGCCAAACTGGGCATGTGATTCTTGATTTGTACTTGCCCGACCATTTTGGAACTTGCCTGGGTGGGCGGGCGAGCACCAATGTCCAACCCTGTATAGCGGGCACGTGCACTATTAAAGGGACCTTGCCCGTTTTTACAGTACCTCATGATGCTAATACTTTGTTCATTATTTTAATATACCTTCATTATACTATACCAGGAACTCATAAGAGTTTCTGACTATACAGAATAGGCTACAACTACAGCTACACCACCATGTTCATGTATACTGAAAAATTCAAACATGTTGCAAATTACAACGATCAAAGATACTTGTATTTTTCAAAACCAATTTCTATCCCAAATCACATTTATTAAAAGTAAGTCAACCAAAATATGTCTGCCAGTTTTCCTAGGTCCTCTTAAAAAAGTTACGAATAACTAATGGTAATTAATGTTTTCAGATTTCCTCTCTCTTTTTTTTTTCTGATAGAGGAATAAAGCTTTGTAAGAGTAAGCACCGACCCAATACATTGTATTTGATTTGCCAGGGAAAGATCATGACGTTAATTAAAACTTACTAAAAGCAGAGGTGTATTGATGTCCACATATTCCAACATAGTGAAAGCTGCTTTGGTAGTGATATCAAATCTCCATGGGCGGTCAACAATTCCCTTTAACCAGTAGCGAACATAGCCATACCTTCCTTCTACTGAGGTCGGCATATTAGTGTTTGGGATTAGAAACTGAAATGGATAGGAGTAATCACCAGGCTGGAGAACTGGGTCATTGCCACTCTGACCTGGAGCTGTCAATCAAAGTAGATAGATAGGTACACTTGGGTAAGTAGGTATTAATGGCAATGGGAAAAAGCTTAGAGGATTTTCAATGGACCCCCCAGTTCATCCTAGCTTTTTAGAAATGACCCCCATAAATCTTATGTAGTGTGTAAGTGACCCCCCTCACCCACCTGATTGCAGTCGAAACTACTAAATTATCAATATTCTAGCTACATTAAATTGTGCCGAAGTTCAGTACAACATACTAAATCGACTGAGTTGTGTTTATAAGATGGGTGTTCACTATTTATGGCTGTTACATGAAAATTTTAACTCATGCTTATTACTGCTTTGTACTTCTTTCATGAATTCATTAAAATGACCCGCAAGGTACGTAACACTCCAAACCGAAAATGAACATCTCCAAAATAAATCAAGATTTTGAAAATGGACCCCCTAGCAAAATGGCCAGCCCTCCCTTACTAATAATAAACGACCAGCCCCTATGTGGTCCTTGTGGGTTCCATTTTGCATCAAATACATTGCCACTAGTCCCAAAGGGAGGTAAATGACTGAGGTATGCCTGGACATGGTGGACAACGAGGAAGAGGAATTCTTCTTGGAATTAACTGATACAGTTTATCTATTACTTCCAAAGTGATACATTTCTTGTTATGAAGAAAAAGAACTGTGCCAAAAATGCTTACTTTATCTGTAATTAGGAAAATCTCCCAGCCTGAATAAGGTGCCACCAATGTACTTGGTATCTATTGCATACTTTTAATTGTTTCCAATTATTGTTCGTGGCACTTTCCCTAACCTGATACACACACAAACAGAGACTCAACAGAGTTTTCTTTCGAAACTTTGAGCTAATTTCGTTACGTATAGGTTTTTGTTTTTGCTTTGTTTCGTTTGGTTTCGAAAATTACAGCGATAATTTGCAAACCTGACCGCGATCAAAGTAGTTAAGCTTAAAATAAATTGAGCATAAATTTTAAAATTTAACCTGTGAGGCTCCATTAGGGGGGACTTATATCCCGTATTCCTGTAATTTTTTGACCAAATATCCCGTATCCCATAAATTCCGGTCACAAATATCCTGGAAATTAAAGTATCGGCCATTTTTCATATGTTACTTGCTACGATATATTTTATAATATTCGTTTACTGGCATTAAAACGTAAACTGGAAAAGTATGGTTTTCAAGGAGCTTATAGTGACAGTTGTTTAAACTGCTGTCATTCAAAATATGGTAGATATCAAGTGGAAAGTTAACGAATGTTGCCACCGAAATCACTTTTGCATACCAGTTAATATAATTAGCTTACCTGATGCCCTTAAGGTGAGTCGACCCAGTTTTTTTGGGGGGGTACCATCCTACTTTGAAGCTCTCTGGTATCCCCACCTTTACTTTAATCGTAAGTCTAACACATAGAATGGATAACATATAGATCAATCTACAATGTAACAAAAAATTTTAGGCGATCGGAGTAAATGTCACGTGGTTATAATGCCACGCCTCTTTGAAGTCAGAGTCGAAAATCTGCTGTTACCGGCATTTTTTCGTGAAAATCTCTCGGCTACACATAGTGCGCATTGGTGCCTTGCGCTGAACAGAGTTTCACCAAAATCGCAAGGACCCAATTCGAGAAATTCAGCGGTTTCCAAATTTAGGTCATAATTTATGCGAAAATGATAAGCAAACTTTACACGATTATATCTAATAAACTATGAGATTCATCCCTTTATTTTGGGTATCGTTATAACAGATGAGTCCTTGCAAGAGGGTGTGAATGGGGTTAACCGACTAGCGACAAAGGGCGAAAAATATTACTGACTACCGACAAAACGAGTAAAAAATTACCGACTACGGACAGGAAAAATATTAACCGACTACCGACATGGGCTGATATTATCAATATTTGTTTCCAGAAAAAAGAGCAATTTGTATTTATTCTAACCGTTAGCTCGAGGAAGTATAACGTCTTTAAATTTATGACTCATCAGATGGCCTAAGGGAAATAATTTCCTTTTTTGTTGTTGATACAGGTACATTGCTACAGCCAATATCAAAATCACAAAGTCACATTTTATCGAAAAGTCAAAGGTGAAAAAACCGAACGTTTCTTGCTTGGATTAATCCTCAAAGAAAATTCCTTCCCGTTAAATGTAAAGCACTATCAGTTCAAACCCACGGTACCGCGATGAGCACAAAGGCAGTAGTTTCCTTTCCAACATTTTCATGGCACATATTAAAACACAAAGTTTAAGCAAAACCGTCTTTAAACCAACTGTTTGAAAACGCCACATAGATGACATCTTTTCCCTATGGGACATAAGTAAACGAGACATCGTAGCTTTCTTCGCGGAACAAGTAATTTTACATGCCCTCCTATGAAATTCACGGCCGAAATATCTGAAAATGAGACATTCTTATTAGAAACGGTTGTATACAAAGGTACAACATTCAGCGAAAAAATGAGAAAAAG